AGATAAGGCACCGGAAGTTGATGCTTGATGACAACGAACTTTCGCTATTCTTCTACTTTCCAGAACCTCGTCACTAGCTTTTTTGAAACTTTTTGTTTCTGATTAAAAGGTTTCATCATCATCAAGATCAGGATTATCTCAAGATAGTTGCACTCCGACAGCCCTCTTTTTTAAAGGTTGAAAATTGTTTTCCTCATCCCCCATTGTAGATTAACAAAACAAACTTGAAGGAAAATTTGCTTCCTCCACAAGTTGAAAGAAAGTGATCTCTTCAGTTAAAAACATATGACAAAAATCACAAACTAAAAGGACATTATAAATGGAATCAAATGTTGCTTCTTGACCAAACAAATGCTAGGAAAGATATTCTAGGATATGAAACAAATACTTTTGAAGGAGACAAAATATAATGTGAAATTACATGATCCAGATAATCAGTTAGCACTCGCCCACAGACATAAACAAGTGAAACTAGTCATTAAGTTTGACAATTGTTAATTCATTACAGAAAGTATCCAAAGATCATGCGCCAAGCAAAAGAAACGCTCACATTTGTAAATCAAACTCAAAAATGGGGGAACAAGGAAAAAAAGAAAGGAAAAAGAAAGAAAAAAATGAGGAAAAAAAGAAAAAGAAAAGGGAGAGAACAATGTGTAAGAGTAACATCAATGTTTGCTTGTTCTTTATAAGTTACAATACAATGTTATTTAAAAGTTCAAACCGAGAAACCAAACCAAATCAAACCGAACCGAAGTGGTTTGGGTTGGTTCGGTTTAAGAATTAGAGTGGGTTGGTTTTGGTTTTAATTTCACTCAAACCGACTACTTTGGTTTGGTTTTTGGTTTAGGTCAAAACCACCCCAAACCAAACCACGCCCAGGCCTAATCAAATGGCCAGTGTTTATATATAAATAATTTTTAGAATTATTGATTAATATTGTTGAAATAAAATAAAAGTTTTAAATGAACCAAAAAATAATTTTTTTTCATATATTAAAGTCATATATTATAAATTAATACATTGAATAGAAATTGATATTATATTTGTTAAGTTTTGATTAATAATACTAGAAGAGAAATGATGTTTCAATCACCAATGATTAGCAACATGGTACATCAATTGATTTGTCAATCATTTAATTACTGAGACATATCACGAACTTATTTATCAATTAAATGATATATCGTGTTATCGATACTTAGCATAAATTAAGCATTGATTTTTACGATATCATTTCTCGTACTTGAAATGTGTTGCAAAAATTAAACAATGTTATGGGTTAGGCTAGTGGTGATTTCCCATATGTGGTTACTGGGAGGTCCAAGATCAAGCCCCCATTAATGTGAATTTATGGAGCGCTTCAAAGAACCGGCAGTTCGAACCAAATCGGTTAATTGGGCTTACTATTGATCCAATAACATTTCTTCCACTCATGTTCATAATTCTTCATAAATCTTTGGAGAGACTTAAACCCAAATCTTTTGTTTAGCTCCAATGTCAAATTAAGCACTGATTGGTGGAGATTATAATCAAATATTAATTAAATTTTGATAAAAGTTAATAAAATGTATAGTTAAAAAATGAGAATCCTATGAAATGTGTGGTTAAAATTAATTGTTGACTTTGACTTAAAATATTAATATGATTTTAATGTACACCAAACGGGGGCTAAAAATGAGCAAATGAGAGAGTTGAGAATTTATTTTAATTAGCAGGGAGACGAATATTAATACAACATTATATAGAAGGATAACTGACAATCAACTAGTAAAATATAGCTGGAATTAGCGTACTTGCAGTTTCCTAAGTTAGCTGTTAAACCTACCCAAGATGTATAGAGTTGGTAAAAATTTGTTTCCATCGAGTTTGTATTCATAGAAATGGAAATACAGTCACGTCGAGGTGGAAATTTATTGAAAAGGTGAAGTGTCATTTTGTTACTTGATTGATATATTGCCATTTTGCTTTTATCCTATGCAATTTTCATGTCCTGTTCAATTCGAAAAAATATATATCAAAACAAATTGCCAACCAACAACATCAATACCAAATTTCAAAACAACCATTTAAATGTGTAATGTATTAAAACTCACAAAATTTAGGACTAACATATCAACACGCTAATCCATATTAATCAAATGGAAATTGCCTTATGTACAAGGCAAATTTCTCAGGGTCAATACAGTTGAAATAGTTTTTCAGCACAAAGATCCGCTACAAGTATCTCATATCCAGGCCCTTTAATCACTTCATTGTGAATCAGTGTTGCGACGATCTCTTCCTACAATTTAACATAAAAATCTAAAATGTAAGTACACGTGATCAAAAATAAATGCACATTTGTAGACAGGCTTGGTTGAAAATGAATGATTCACTTTGCATCTAGACAAGGCAAAACAACGAAAAGAGTTCAAGGAGAAATTTTTTTGTAACATTTCGAAAACAATACCCAAATATATAGAGGTGGAATACAACTATAACTAAACAAAGCAAATTCAACAATTTTTGAAAATATTAAACGAACCAAGGATTGAAATGTAGCCACGGTTTTTGGGAGATCAGCAGTAATTTTGTTGCAGCTACGAAGAGAAGATGATGAAGTGGTGGTTGTTGGAAGCAAAGAAAAAAAGAATAAAGAAATTGCTTTTTATAGTAAAGCATAATTCGAGTGCATTATAAATGAAAAAGGCCGGAATTTAGCACAAACAACTTTTGACAAAAATCAATGGAACATCAATGAAAAAATCAGCATTAAACGCTTTTATAGTAACGTTGTTTGTGGAAGCCATCCCTATTTATAGCTTCCGAACTCTGTACCTTAATGTGGGGAATGTGACATATATTGTCCCATTCGTCTCCAATCCTGTCCCCGTAAAGTGAAGCTAGACATGAGGAGACATTGACAATCAAATCCTCTAGAGACGATAGGAGGCACTATGGTCGTTGACCTCGCTTTTGGTTAAGGCCACTCGAACAACAGATATCTGTTCCACTCGTGCACACGTAGGCAAAGTCCAACATGTTAAGACAAACTAATGGTCTGGAAACTAGGCGTGAAAGCAATTCAATGATGCGAGACGACAATATTCGGATTCTGGTATTACATTTGTAGAATAATTGTACAATAATTACCAATCGTAATAGACGAATACTATGTAAACTCGGTTGTATTTGTAAGAGAGTAAAATGAAGTTTATGGTTTTGTATTTAATGTTGCATTAGTCTCTACAAGTGTTGCATGGGGGAGTATATATAGTGGTACAAGTGGAATGGTGGCTCTTGGATGAGAATAAACATGGTCTCATCTTCCTAATTTATACATCTAATCCTAGCCATCATTTGTGACTTGCTAGCCTGGTACATTTATTAACTATGCAGAACCATCATTTTGTTTGACAAGACTTGACACTTAAATTTTATGACAAACGCCCCATAGTCATTCGAAGAAGATATTCGTATAGAAGTGGATCTCTTGGAAGAAGTGATAGTGGAATCTGTTTCGAAAATAACCGCCTCGACGTCAAGGACTTCGGATGCTACCACATTTGCCCGTAGGCTTCGGTCTTCATGATCTTGAGCCTCAGTTGAGGCATTAAATTCGACCGTGTTGCATTCCGCTTTGGCTTCAAGGCCTCAACCACGTGTGATAAGGCATAACAGTGGCGATACCTTTAACTTGTCACAATGATCGATTTCTAACTCGCTGAGACATGACATTATTGAGAGATGGTCTTTTTCATCCCCAATTATATCCTCCCACTTTTCCTGTTGCAGTTGTCACAACAGGAAAAATACAATTTCCTCAAATTCGGGAATGCAGTTTCCGCATGCAGTAGATTCTTGATAGTCCCCATTATCCCAAAGAATTCATTGGCCAAGCATTTCATGCTATCTAAGAATGATATCCGAAGGTTCCCGAGCATTGACATTTTTTCCCAAAGGGGGCAAAGATTAGCAGTTTATAAATATTGGGATACTAAGCACCCTTAAATAGTTAAGGGACACAGTGATCCATACTGGAAATTGGGTGCCCTTGTATCCAGTCATTTCTGAATGATGCAGGTTTGGAGGTGGTTGAGAGCTTCCATTATGTCCACCCTCACCTTCCCATCAAAAAAGACGCTCAACTCTTGAATGTGTATCTTAATTTTCAATTATGCTTTCTCAGCATCAACCAAGTCTTCTAACTCAATCAAGTCTCCTAGCAAAAGTTGTAGACGTCCTTGAAGTTCGTTTAGTTTTCTCTAATATCCTAACTTATTTGATCCTCTTCCTGCTAGGGAACTGTTTAAAATCCAAATATCGGTTAATCTCTCCAATCCTTGAGGAATTGGTTTCATACTCAAACCTTTATCAAAGAGAAGATGTCATAGATTTATAAGTTTATAAATCACTTGAAGGAGTGCAAAGAGTTCGAGACATCCTTGGAGATCCAAGTTTGCAAATTATACAAATCACACAAGGTTTCTGGGAGTTCTCTTATAGGATTGAAGCTCAAGTCAAGATACCTCAAGTTAATTAATTTTCCTATTACTTGTGGAAGTTCTTGCAAACCACAGTCGCTCGCAATAAGTACCCGAACACATTTTAAACGACTAAAGAGATTTAAAGGGAGGCCTTTTGAGAAACATTTCTAGCACAAAAGGTGCAAGCTTTTCCGATAGCACATTTCGTAGCTTCTACTCCACCATCCAAGATTAAGCAGCACTCATCTTTTGAGAGATAATTAACGAAGTCTTGATTTATATCATGCATTTGGCAAGAGATTTCCCTTTCATCATATTTATCTTTTTCAACCCTTGAAAGAAAGATCGCATTGCTAGGTTCTTAAATAACTATAAACCAATCCTTTGCATGTGATCTACATTTCCACTCAAACCAAGATAACCGTGTGTCATCCAGATCCTTATTAGCATATCTAACCATATCCGGGTATCTTTTGGATAGATGACAAAACTCGAGAAGCAACACTTAAAGTACAGGAGACAAACCATTCTAACTCAAATAGAAGTGGGGAAAAGCTCAACCGTCGCTTCCTCCAACTGCCACAAAGGACTCTCCAGAGCATTTAGCCACTCTCCTACAGTATCTTTCAAGCAAAGCAAGCTTCCAATAGTTTTTGCAGCAAGTGGCAACCCATTGCAATTCAGCGCTATCTTTTTACTGATATCTTCTAGTTTCTTGCACTCCTTATTTCTTCCAACAAAAGCTATCCTACTCAATAGTGACCAGCAGTCCTCATCTAATAGTTGGCCCAATGGTTGCCGTGTGTCCGTGCATATCAGTCTAACAACCCGATCGCTCCTTGTTGTGGCTAAAATTCTACTTCCGGGGACACCATGGAGAGAGTTTTTCAGTGGTTTCCACTTCTTATGGTCTTCAGTCCACACATTATCTAAGATAATAAGAAATTTTCTCTTTGAAACTGAGTTTTTCACACGTAATAACATCCCCAATTTCGAGGTGTTGGAGGAACTCTCCCCAACGGCTTCAAGAACTAATTTTGCAATCTTAATCTCATCGAAAAGATCCGAAAAGCAAATTCGTGTTCTTAGTTCAAAATGTTCCTTGACTTCAAGATCATTAAAGGCTAATTGAGCAAGAGTTGTTTTACAAACCTCTCCCTTCCCTAATATAGAAACAATTTGGACTCCACTGCTCCCCTCAGACAACAAATTTTGTATCAGGTTATCCTTGTCAATACGGTGACCATGCACATTTGCAGAATCAACCAAAGAAGTCGATTCAATTCTCTTAAATTCCTACAAATTATGGCCACCACTTGGAAGAAAACCAAACTCATCTTTTCCCTGAACAGTCAAATCTAGTTTCCCAATCAAACCCTTTATCTTCAGATTAATTTCGCGACGCCCAACAACATGTTTGAAGCATAAACAAATAGATTGAATAAAACGAAATTATCCAAAGCGATCAATTTGCAGTTGAAGATTCGGGTTTCCCATTCATCCAAAGCGTCATTTATTTCGTAGAATACATCTTATAATTCTTTTAGCCAATTTTTTACCTTTGAATCAATCTCTCCAGTTCTCTCTGCATCATGTATGTTTTTATTAACTATTTAATAAAATCACGCTTATTTTATACTATATTATAAGGGAACTGTCTCTGTCCTAATGTCTTACTGGATTTGGAACTCCCACATCATACAAATATATAGAAATAGATAGAGATATACATCACCCCTTATCTTATAGTCGGTGTTCTGAAAAGTGCATTTAGGAGAAATGTATGTCAAATACTTTACCTTGATAGTGAGTGTGAAATTAAGCGATCAATTGTCGAGTTGACCACTTAATGTGCAAGTGGGCGTGCCTAGGCGCATTATTGATTTTTTTCCTTTCTTTTTTTTAAAAAATAATGCTATTTATCACCCAAATTATGAGTTGAAAACATGACATTAAATGATATGTCAAATGAAATAAATCATTTAATTTCACCTTTCGTTTGACCTATTATTTAATGTCATATTAGCGTTATATAGACTGTGATTATTATCTCCGTGGAGCAAAATAACATGACTCTTTTTTAAAAACATTTTATATGACTTTGGTTTCAAGTTTTTAAATAAATTTAGTCTAACTTTTATCTTTCAAGATCTTGACAATTGAACGTTAGAGATTAACCACCGACACTCAGATAGTTATCCATGTGGAATCTCTCGACGGGTCTCCAATGTTTTGTTCTATAACAAACATCCACGTGTTCATTTAAGTGTCACCACACTTTAGTTTGTGAGATCAGCTACTTACTTCACAAGTAAGAAATGACACACGTGATGGTCTATCCGTAATAACGATATCCGTATCTCGTTATTACTTACGACCACGGATGATTTAAGATTCAATCAGATGTAATTTGTATCTCACAATCACAACTCCTTGTGATTAACAAATTACAAATATTTAAATCTACAGACTCTATTATTTATTTAATTGTCTATTAATTAAATAATAGATCTGCCATTTAATTGCATTAATTATATATAAAAGTATTTATGTCCAAAGTTGATTGGACCTAGGGCATAATACTTACACATTATTCATGTCCATGTATGTTAATTAACATCCAGTTTTACTTAATTGAAAATTAAATAAATGATTTAACATTCATTATAGCATGTATATTTTTTGGTATTAATTATAATTTAATTAACGTCCAAGTATATTCAAATATTATTTTTATAGTACCTATAAAATATTCCATAATAACGTGTGACATACATTCAATGTTGACTAGTTTATCAAAACATCCTCATGGTATATAAAACCTGAACTAAATTAAAGCCTATAGATGACGTTTAATAATAATAATAATAATAATAATAATTCTCTACATATAATATTGACCTTAGATTCTATTAGCCTTTGTTTGACCCAGTTTATTTAAAAATTAATTTTTTTCGAACTTATTTTAAACTAACATTCTTTCAATAAATAATTTTTACACGTGAATCCAAGATTTTCATTCTTTAATCACATATTAAAAATATAAAATTGAAACACTGCAAATAATCTCTTCCAAACAAATACATAGTATAGTACATTATATTGTGTTTGACTCTCTTCATTTCAAAATTTTTTCTCTCTCATATTCATTTTCAACCGTATTCACACAATAAAATATTTTTCACATAAATCCAAATTATTTACTATTTTTTAATCACACATTCTCCAAAAAATTACTGTCCAAAATATCACTTTCCCCAACTTCACTTTATAATGGCCATCAATCTGAGAGATGGGATCTACCATCAATTTTTTGCTGTCAAACTTGTTATCCACCAAATTAATTATTAACACATCAATTTTAAATTAAAAGGTCATCTCAAATTTACCCTTATTAACTTCACCATTAATCCACCAAATTGATGGCATATTAATTTAAAATAATGTATAAATAATTAATTGGGTGGACAACTTGAATAACATATCTAACGTCAAAAATTTATTATTGTTAAATTTAATGTTGCTCACCATGATTCACGATCAGTTTTCTCTTTATCTTTTAAATCTAACTTTTATAGGCTTAACCAAACATGTTCCTTAGTCTAGTAATTTATATACTCGTCTCTATTTAATTAAGTATATAAAAGAACGCATAAATCTATTGAATTTTATTTAGAAAGAGACTATTAATTTATTGCCATAAATAGCCCACTCTATATTTTTAATTAAGTATAAGTAAATGAATCTCTCCGATTTTTCTTTTTTCATCATTAATGCCATATTTGGTAAATCTAAAAGCATGTTTAAGAAATGTTTATAAACAGTTTAAATTATACATCAATGAATTAAAATGTATTATTATACGTTATGTGAGAGAAGAAGATACAAAGACGTACTAGATTATAATGTTCCAAGAGTCGATAGCTAAAATTTTACCTAAAAATTCTTCAATTACACTGCTTTGTATGATCGGAGAAATATCGCACCAAGAATCTTTCATATTAGTCAATACATGATTCTTTGTGCAGTGAAGGGCAATCAAGCGTTGTAGTTTCCCTTTTCCAAAAAAGAAGTAAAGTGAAGTCTAGATAGAGAAACTTAAAAAATATCAATATGGATACTAGTCTAAGACTAACATTATTATGTCAAGTTCCGTTGAATCTCATTTCGTCTTCTCTTCTGGCATCTTTTTAATAAGTATTTGAATATTCTTCAATTTGAAAAATTAACTGAAAGGATGCCTTGCTTGGCATAGGCTATGCGTTATCATCTAGCGAAAGCATTATCTTTTACTTGAATATTTCTAGTCATTTTCATATAATTGATTTAATATTAATCAATAATAGAGATTCATTCATGGGCGGAGGTAGTGGGGGCAGTATTGGGCTGTAGCCCAGAACTACTCCCTAGCCATTATAAAAAATTAAGAAAAAGTGGAGTTTTTGCTCAAATGTTAGCACTAGCCTACTACTTTCTAGCCCATATACAAGATTAAGAAAAAAGTGTTAGAGTTTTGGCCCAAATGTTAGCATTAGCCTAGCTCTAGTTTGAATCTCAACCCAAGTCCAATGTTCAATTATTTAAATTGTAGAAAAGACATTAATTATTAATTAATCTTTTCATGAAATTCATAAAATGTGAATATTTTATTGTCAAATTAGATATTCTACTTAATATATGTTTGACTAAAATTTACTTATAATTATTATTAAGTAAATTTTATTATAGATAATTTGTATTGATTAGATCTAAAAGTAAATTACTTATTTTAATAGTTAGAGACACTACATATTTTTCAAAATTTAAAAGTAATTATTATTTTTTATTTCTACATATGTTTTCATTTATTATTTATTCATATTTATTAAAAAATTATTTATTTTGACCATAAAATAGATATTATAATCAACATAAATAACATTTCATAGATTTGATATTGACAATAAAAAGAATATTTGTTAAAATTTATTTATTTATAAAGTAATCTACATACGATTATATTCTTGAAATCGAGTAGAAAATGTACGTGAATTAAATTTAATTTCTTCAACCCTCGTAATTTTTAGTTGATTTTTCTTACTTTGATTGAGATTCTTCACTCAATTTGAAATGTAGTGATATAGAAGATCGATGAATACACCAAATAATATTTTGAGACAATTACATATGGATTCTAGTGATATATTATTGATTGCAAGTTTCAATCCAGTTTTAGTTATTTGGAAAGATTGGTTGTAAAAGTTATTAGAAGAGTACTTATTAAGCTTTTTTATTTATTTATTTTTTCCATTGGTGGATATGTATTTTTGCTTATTTCTATCATGATTCAGTTAGTTTATATTTTTTAAGGTAAACTTTTGGTAAAAAAAAATACAAAGATTTAGTGGAATATATTAATGTGAGACATCTAAACATTTTTATTCCATTGAATGTCGTATACTTTTTGTTGTGAATGTCATGAAAATTGCCTCTGAAACTCGATTTCTTGTGGCGTAAGTTCATTAAAAAAAAAAATTAAATTTCAGCCCATCCCAACATCGTTTTCTGGCTCCGCCCATTCATTAGTCATGCATTAGGACGAAAATGTTATCTTTTAATTAAATATTCCTAGTCATTTTCATATAATTGATTTAATATTAGTCAATAATTGAGATTCATTAGTCACGCGTTCTCATCTAACGAAAAACATTATCTTTTAATTGAAAATTTCTAATCATTTTTGTATAATTGATTTAAGATTAGTCAATAATTGAAATTCGTATAATCTTTAATCAATTGAAATCTTGTGACCCAAGTATTCATATAGAAATTAACTGTAAATCTTTTAAGGGATATAATGTGTAAAATAAAATACTCAAAAGGATTGAAATTTATAAATGAGAATTCAATCTATTACTCCGATTGTCAAGCTTACTTCATTTTTGAAGATGAGTCAATACTTGAGACAAAAAAATAATAGTTATTGCAATCATTGTAAGAGCATCTTCAATCATGAAATAAAATATATTTAAATTGTGATTTGGATCTTTAAAGTGGACCAAAACCTCTCAAATAGATAGATGAAATTAAAATGCATACTGCATTTTTAGGCATTAAAGAGAGAGAGAGAGAGAGAGAGAGAGAGAGAGAGAGAGAGAGAGATATGCATTTACATTTTTGTTTTTATTTTTTAAAATATTTACAAGAGGTAAAAATTGGATTTAGATCTTTCCATTAGAGTAAAATTTGAATTTAGATCGATCGGAGTGTAAATTAGAATTTAAAAATAGTTTTAGAGATATCAATTTACACCACGATCGGACATGCTCTAATTATTGGAAATCAATTCATAAAGGGGTCACCTTTTAGCTTGCTTAATATCTAGAACATGTTTTACTAAGCTTAATTTCATACACTTTTGATATTTTTATTTTTTACTTTTAAGTAAATTTTACTTATTTAAGGGTACAGGAATGATCTCTTAAGTACCGGTGCTTAGATTATATTAAGCACTGGTGACATGATACATCATTTAATTGGTAAATTATTAAATACGTGAACATTTTCATTAACTTATTCACCAATGAAATGACATGTCTTGTCCTCATATGGAGACCTGAACCCAAATTTTAATCATAATTATGATCTCAAGAAAAAAACATGTGAACTTATTTTCAATTCTGATAAATAAAGGTTACTTATTTAAAACTAATTTTCTAATGGAAACTTTCGGTGGCCAAGCTGCATTCCAACTTTGTATCTTGCAAAAATCTTTTGCTTTTTGCAGAATCTGATCCGAGTTTTTAATGAATTCTCGATGCCTAATATCTTAAAACTATTGTTATTACTTCCAGAGACGGATATGGGGGACTGAGCTGGGCTGTAATCCCCCAAAGCCGAAGGAATTTATTTTTTTTAATACATTTTTCATTTTTTTCATTTTTTTTTTTTTTGAAAAAACAGTTTTTTGTGTGTAAATTTTTTTTTTCGCGTATTAGCCTGGTTTGAAATTTTGTAGCCCAACTTTGGATCCAATCCTGGATCTGTCCCTAATTACTTTAGATGAAAGGATGGATCATGGAATCCAAAGGGTAGAAAATACATATAGCAACTTAAGTACTCTTTAAGGACATTTTGATTATAAAATTATATATCAAGCCAAGAAAAATCTGCGATTCTTTAGCAAATATAAAAAATATGACAGAAATTGAGTAGCTCAGGAAAATACTGAGATTTTTCTTAAATATAAAAAAAATATGATAGAAATAAAGTAGCCTAAAGGGAGCGTTCCCCCTACCAATATTTTTGACAAATAGTTTTGACAAAAATTTCGATCCTCAATTTTTCTAACGATATAGATGATTTAATTAAAATCCTTTGAAATTTAAAAATGGAAAACCCCACACTCCCGCTCCCACCCCCACCCTCACCCTCACCCTCAAATAATCTGTGTTTCCTGTGTCCTCTTCCTATCCCTCTCTCACTCTCTCTTCAAATTGACACAGGAAATGGGTCTTGAAATGGCAATCCATTTACATCCCACTATTAAT